TGCTTCACTTCAAAAACTAGGAATGACTGTTTGACCTGTAAAAGTATTGAAGCTGTAGTTAAGAGGTATAATAAAAAGTAACTGCAAGTGCTTTTAAAAGATACTGCTTTTAAATGTAATATTAAATTATCCCAAATGTGGCCAGCTTAGTTTTGCTCATTGTCTCCTGCCACTTGCCTTCCCCTTCCTGAATTTGCAAAGGTCCGCTGCCTAAAACCGTCTCCAAATGCAGAGATTGGCAGAGCTATTATGGAAGTAGCAGAAGCAACCTCTACCCTGGGAACAGGATACAACACGAAGAGTCCATTCAGCAGGCTGCATAAAGACAACAAGGAACAATTAATGAATTAATAAGCAAAATACGAAGGCCTTTGGCAGAGATGTGCCAGTGCTGGCACAGCCTCAATGATGTTAACTTAGAGCAGATGGTTAATTTCTGCTTTTTGTACACTCTATCAGCCGTTTGTAATATGCCATGGGCCCTAGTTGTAAAAATATGAAAAAGCCACCAGTCTGGTTGTGTTGCACATTCTGGGAGGAACCAGTTTAGAGCAAAATGCGCTTCCTCTGGCCTGAGAAGAGAGACGCCATAGACTGAGGAAGCCCTGTCCAACCTTTGTTTACATAGGGGAAACTTGGTTGGTTTGGAAAGCACAGAGTCTGTTTGATATGGTGATCAATCTCACAATCTTTAGATGCCAGTGAATGACCAGGAGGACAGGCACTTCCCTCTTGAGTCAGAGTTAGCATAGGATCTTCCGGCATTATGATACAAAGTAGGGTTGCTCTCATTGCGTGCTAGTGGCTGCCAATGGCTACAATTTCTGTCCAGTAAAAAGAACTTGGGGTTCCACAAGCAGCTGGTGATGCGGAGCAACCCTCCTGATACCGTCATTGCTGCATCTTACCTGGGTGTGCTGGGGGTGAGGCATAGCAGCAGTGAGGTTGGGACTACACAGATGGATTGGCTCTGCCAGTTCATCCAGGAAACCTCAATCTTGCTGCCGTCATGCCCCATCCCAGCAGCATCCAGGTAAATTACAGCAGTGGCCCAGCATTGGGAGGGGGCACAGGGGCAAAAATGGCAGGGGTGCAAAATTTCAACACCCAGTGCTACCTCAGTACAGATACACACTTCCATTGATGGGCTCCATTGAAAAAAGCTTCTGTTTCTCCATGTGAACCAGGAAGTGATGTCTTCAGATAATGGAATGACTCTTATCTCTGTGGCTGCAATCTCCTGGGTGATGTGTACCCTGTCAAACAGCTGAATGCATATGTGTACTCCGTCCATTTTCCTCCCTCACCCCCCCCCCTGCAGCCATGGGCTCTGCCATGCCACGCTACACCACTGAGTTGCAGTAATGCCGGGTGTCGGGATGGGAGCTCTGTGCCACCACACTGGACATGATTGTTGCGTGTGAAAACCTGCCTTCCATTTGAGGGAGTAAATGTGAAATTTCCATAGTAACAGCATTGCAGATTTTTATCCTGGGAAGTATGATTGATTAGTAGGTATCTAAGGACAAAGTAAGGGACGCGGGTGGTGCTGTGGGTTAAACCACAGAGCCTAGGACTTGCTGATTAGAAGGTTGGCGGTTTGAATCCCTGCAACGGGGTGAGCTCCTGTTGCTCGGTCCCTGCTCCTGCCAACCTAGCAGTTCTAAAGCATGAAGTGCAAGTAGATAAATACCTTCCAATGGAAGGTAAACGGCATTTCCGTGCACTGCTGTGGTTCACCAGAAGCGGCTTAGTCATGCTGGCCACATGACCTGGAAGCTGTACGCCGGCTCCCTCGGCCATTAAAGCAAGATTAGCGCTGCAACCCCAGAGTAGATCACGACTGGACCTAATGATCAGGGGTCCCTTTACCTTTACCTTAAGGACAAAGTAAATGCACGTGTATATTTTACATGCTAGCAAATGCTACTGCTTGCCTTTAATGGGATAACGAGGTTGCCATGATAATAGCTGATTACTAGGAAAGAAGCCCAACATATTTACTGAGGATTAAACTCTGTAAATGACATTAATCTCCTGAATAGTTGCTAAACCTGTGCAAATCAGATTTTTTTTTAATATAATCAATTGATATTGGAAAAAGAACCTTATTAAATGAAATTAAATGCTAATTTCATTCATTTAAAACAGAACGAGATTTCCTTGCACATTTATTCCTTGCTTCAGGCAAACATCTGTGTATATGCTAACTTAAATCTGTTTATCAGACAACTCAAAAACAAAATGTATTTTCCCAAGGAAAAATAACTACCTAATAGAATCATTCTTAGAACTCAGTATTACACTTTTTATTTGTTTCTTGGCCAAGGATATTAAAACATTTCCCCATATTTAGAATGATATCCTGCTCAGAGGGTTATCAGTGCCATGTTCTTGGCAACAGTTAAAAGATTTTGGCTGTGGTCCTGAAACTGATTTACCAGGGAGTAAGTCCTCTTGAGTTCAGTAGGCATTACTTCTGAGTAGATAGCTATAGGACTGCATTGTTATGCTACAGCCGTACGCCTGTTTACATGGGAGCCAGCCCTGCTGAGCATAGTATGACTCACTTTCTTCAAAATAAACATTTGTAGTTTGGGCAATTGAACCCTAAATGTAATGCAAATATTATTGTAGGAAGAAGATATCAAGAGCCATCTAGAATTAATGTATCATTAGGGTGAGCTGCATTTGCAAGGCAAGTTTGACCAGATTCCTCTCACACCCGGGGGTGGAGGTGGGGAGTGGGTTTTGAAAGGAGGGGTGTATCCATGTTGTTTTCATAAGTGAACACAAAAATACATAGTTCTGTGTCATTAAAATAGATTATTTGACATTTGCACCGTGCCCCGTTCATGCTGGCATGCACCAAAACAGGGCAGCTATTGTGGGCACATAAGGGCAGGAATGTGTGGAAACGCCCTTGTGAGTTGTTTCTAGTCTTATCTAAGCTCTTTTGGCTTCTCTAGAAGTTCCTCAGGTGTTTCACTCGAGGAAGAAACCCCCCCCTCCAAAAAATTGCTTCGGAGTTTTGCTTGAGGGAAAAACCCAGTGACAAACTCAGGGTGTGTGAAAACGCCCTGAAAAATGTTGCTAGTCTTATCTAACTTGTTTGATTGCCATGGAAGTTCCTCAGGTGTTTTGCCCAACCAGAAATGCCCATATTTAATTGAAGCATGGTTGTGGGTGAATGTTCAGGGCAGAGACATATGTTGAAGCAGGACTCAAGAAGAGAGCGGGAGCCCTTGTTACTACTTGATGCTCAAACTCATAAAACTTTCCTTATTTCCTGCAGGCTTGTTTCTTTAGGCTGCATCTGGCTTGCTTAAGAATGAATAGGCTGGCCACCCCAATTTACTTGATGATATATTGGATTATACCACTTGAGTGAATGGGTGGTTGAGAAATGTAATAAATAACTAAAATAAAAAAATCAATCTTGTTATAGCATGGGGGCATAATGGCTGAGTTTAGACATAATGGTAAACTATGGTTTTGTATCATATGTTTGAGCCTCAGGCTCACTTATTCCTTCCCCTCTTTACTTCTGGCAGTGATAGAAGCTTTTGCTTTCATTTTCAGTCAATAGGAACTCTTTTAAACTTTCTATTTAATGGTAGATGCTCATTTATGAGCAAGGGGTGATACCATTGATGGTATATAACCATATAATTTTGATTATTCCATTTTCTTTTGAGCCTATGGCCTAGCTAGACTGAATAGGGCTGTGCCTGCCTACCTTTTACAGTACAGAACTAGTGGCTTTTAGGTACTATATGTAGAAACTATGTTGTTAGAATCTGTGGCGGCAATTGTATGCATGAAAAGAAAATCAGCTAGGCATAGCAATTGTGATTAATCTTGAATTGTTTGAAAGGGGATATTAGGAGACATTTAATGAATAGGAAAATTAGTCAAAGTCTTCATAAAGAAAGACATTGAAAAATGGTTATATGTAATCACATTATATGATGCAGGCTGATCTGAAGAACTGAATGCTTTTGATTGGTTCAAGTTGATGACATTGTGTTGCAACTACTGAGATGGTTATGATCCTTTGCGTGTTGAATAGAAATCATGTGTGCAATCTGGAAGCATGTAAGAAACATGGATGTGGGTGAGGTTCTTTGCAACCCCCTTATTTTTGAGGCTGTCCCTATATTTAATCTCTCTACAAATAAATCAGGGTGAAGACTCAATAAGCACGTCATCTGGAAGCATCCAGGTAGAGCCGAAGAAGGCAAATGGCAAATACAAATGAACATTTTCTTCTTCGTGTTCCCACCATAATGTAAAGTACAGTAAATAATGTATGGCGGTTGCCAATACTACAAGGTAAACATGACATCTGAAATGCTGCCTGGAGTCACAGAACTGGCAGTAACTGACTTACTATGTGCCTCATAACTGAGCATACATCAAAGGGGCCATAAAGAAATTATGAGGCAGTACGCTCATGCTGAGGGACTGAGACAAAAAAGACTTCTCCTGTAAATGTGTTTCCCTGTTTGGTTGGGAACTCAGAAGCTCTTTGCTTCTTTTATTTACCATAATCAGTGTTTTTTTTCTGGGGGGGACGCAGGGGTACGCATACCCCTAAACATTTAGTGAATCTGAGTTTGGCCTTACTGAGGAGCAATATTTCAATATGAGTAGGAAATTGAGAGTACCCCTAAACATTTTTTTAGGAAAAAAAGCACTGACCATAATGATTTTTTAAAAAACAAAAAACCACTCAAGATGAGCAAGGACAGACAATTATTGCTGTAACCTCTCATCCTCAAACTGAAAGCCCTATTTTTCAGTCAAGAGAAGCAGACACATGATTGAAGGAAAATGGCAAGATCCTTAAACATCTGTTTGTTCTTTCTTAGATTTGTCAATACATAGGAAGCTGCCTTATACTGAGTCAGACCATTGGTCCATCTAGCTCAGAAATGTCAACAGTGACTGGCAGTGGCTCTCCAAAGTTTCAGACAGGGTTATCTCCCTTCCCTACCTGGAGATGCCAGGGATTGCACTTGGGGCCTTCTGCATGCAAAGCAGGTGCTCTACAACTGAGCCACACCCCTTCCCCTACAAGAACTGAGCCTGGGGGGCATTCAGGCTGCTGCATCAGCAGCTGCTTGTGAATCGTGTCTAAGGCTGCAGCCTATATGCTCTTTCCTGGAAGGAAAGTCCCATTGAGTTCATCTGAATTTACTTTGGAGTAAACATGTACAGACGTGCAGTGCAAGTTGTACCTGATAACATGAAATCCTCATATTAGACCTCTGCATTACTACATCAGTGGCTTTCTCACAGCAAAGAAAGAACTTGCTATGGCTAAGCAAATGTTTTTGACCACAGTTCAGGGCCAATGCATAATGTGCACGACATGTGAAATAACCACTACATGCTAACCACTTTATAAATTGCTCCCATAGTGGCTTTCTTCACATAGCAAGTTGTTCATGTTCAGGAACTTGTAGGTTTGTCATACATCAGGAAAATTCCTGACATGTCCTAGTTTTGGGGTGTAAAAATGGCATCAGAGTGGGGCAGGGGGAAGTTTCAGGTGCACACACTGAACTAGAGAAATTCCTGTCTGTGTATATGTGTTTCCCATTAGTACGATTCATCTTCCACTTTTTGGTGTCAAAGGCCGTGGGTCACACCTAGGGATGGGCAAATCCATAAATCTCAGTTTCCCACTCTTAAGATCAGTTCGCCACATCAGTTTGCTCTTTTTTTAAAAAAAAAAAAGGCCTCCTGAAAATTCACCAGCATTTTTGTGCAAATTCCTCATTCTTGTAAGTATTCCCGACAAATATACACATTTTTGCTAGAAGAAATCACATTTTATGCATTTCTATATGCAGTCTTTCCTAATATATGCATCTTTAGGCACACTTTCACTTAGAACATGCATTTTTGTACACCTTGCTTGGCTGGAGAACGGCATTGCAAAATTCAGAGAAGTGAAAATTTTACAAGGAGGCTATGTTTCCGTTTGTGCACTGCTTTTGGAAAGGGCAAATTAGGAAGATGTACCTTTAAATGTGAACTGAATTGAATTTCTCCCTGTTTCCTATACATAACATATGGGCCTGGTGCTCGCAGAGCTCACTCTGCAGTCCTGTGACTTATAGAACCTGCAGGGAGAGGAACAGTGTGATTTGGTCAATATAATTAATGGAATGTCACTGGCTGCTTTTTTCCTTTGTTGAATTATAGCTGATATTATTTTAGATGGAAAAGGGGAAATAAGTGATCTCTGGGTAGAATTCAGACCAACGTTCCATCTGCAAAAGCATTTCAGCTTGTCAGGCTTCTTCTCCCCCCACATGCTGCTCTGGGGTTCTCTTGACACCCCCCATCAAGCCAACTTTGGGGGAAGGGGGAGGAGAAAGCCCCATTGCACAAGAGGAAATCCTTGCACAAGAGTAAATTTGGTAGCATGTTGCTCACTCGTAGAAACACATATACTTTTCCAGCACCCGGATAACTAATAACCACAGCACGCCTTGGGAAATGGCCACGCACCATAAACTTTTTGAATAAACGTGACCTAGTGATTAAGCATTAAAATCTACATAGTTCCCTACGTTCTGTTGTCCAACTCCTTGTATTCTTCTGGGGCGCTGTGCATGTTGTTGACTGCACAAGTATCTGCATGTAAAGCAATTCCTTGGCCTCATTATACTTGTTAGCTAGATGACAGCCATGCAGGCAGACGGCAACTAATGTTGAGGAATAGTTTGATTTGGTGGAGTAAAGTGGCAGAAATCCATCACCGTACCAATGGAGTCAGGATTCAAACTTTGCACTGCACAATACTGGGGTGTGGTGAGGAACTACTCATATAAAAATGTTCTGTTCATTAGATATAATATTGAATTTGGAAGCCACATGGGAAAGAAGGTGTATGGCTTTAACAGGGAACCAATATCTAAGTCTGCCATCTTTGATTGTTGAGCCTATGTTCAAGGCCGTAAGTACTAGTCCCATAATATTAAATTATATATGTGGTTAGATGCCTGCACCCCCCCCCAAAGTCACCAGAATTCCAATGACTAGCTAGCTTGACTAGTCTAGCTCTCCAATTCATACTATTAAACTTGAGAATAGGAAATTTATTTTGGTTCCCTCAGGAGCCAAAGAATAAAAATCAGGAAAGGCTAGCCACCATCTTTCCTTATGGCTTTCCAGCTTGGTATGAGAGCCCCTTTCCCCAGTTAGTGCCCAAATAAATTTAAATTGCTAAATATTTGCAAAGCTTGGCATATGATTTTGCTTCTAGTTCTGAAACAAGAAGCGAAATGCAAGAAAAGATGAACTTATTTGGTGGTAATTCTTCTAGTCAAGCTTGTCTCGTTGCATCCTTCCCCAATCTGGTGCCCTCCAGTCCAGATGATGTTGGAACAGAGCGTCCATCTTTCCTGGCTATTGGCCATGTTGGCTGAGCTGCAGGGAGTTGAGAGTCCAGAGTCCAACAACATCTGGAGGGCAGCAGGATGAGGAAGGCTGCTGTAGGGAATTGCCCTGCCTTGTCCACCTTGTCATTGCTTCCTAATTATTTGCTACAGTCTTGATTTTTACTAATCTTGGATGGCTAATTTAGTCCCAATGCTCTGGTTTCTAGTTCTTGCCCATTGCATTAGATTTGTTCCAGATTCTTATCTTTGGTCTGGGTCTGAGCCAAACTCCGGTGATACTATCCTGCCACTGTCATCATCTTTGTAATCTCTTCAGAGGCCAAACTTCCAAACAAGAAGATACAAATAAGCAGAGTTATACAACAGGATCTAAGTAGCATTCATCTGGTTGCTGATTGCTAAGCAAATGTCTGGATGTCACCTTTCGTCCAAATGTCAGTAAGCGTTTGGTATGCAGAATAGGACATGGGAAATTTTCTGGAGAACTGTTTATTTGTGAAATAATTTCTATCCCATCTTTTGGCTCCACATGGGGCCCCCAAGGTGATTCAAATGAGAAAGGTCACCCAAGACAAGGTCTTCAAGTATATAATTACTTACTGTGTATATAACGCCTTTAACTTGTGGTGCTTTACAATCCTGATTGTATCATTCCCTCGTGGTAAAGTTCTGTGACACAGTCATAATTTCTCTCCATTTAACAGATGGAGAATTGAGGCTAAAAGCATGTGAATTGTCAAAACTGTAATGAAGCTGTGGTAGAGAAGGCCTTTCAGATTCTATTTCTCTACTCACTTGATCTTAACTGTGTTACAGAAGATTCTAGAGAGTTCTACCCCACATTTGAATACAAAATGAGGTATGGCAGATTACTGATTCCTTCCGTTCTACTCTCAATGGGGCATTTCCATTCTTGTATGGCAGTGCTTCAAAGCCATATTTTCCTCTGTCTCAGTCAATCAGTTTAAATTTCTGTCTAACGTTCTATAGTCAAATACTATAACGTTCTATATTTATAAAGCTTCCAAGCAGTCTATAGATGGAATCTTCCATGTTTATTATGTAACTGCCATATGTTTCGGTAAATTTTAACTGAGCTGTGAGACAGATAGGGCAAGGGACAGAGACTGCAGGATGAGCTGGCATGACAAACTGCAGATAGACACATATTTGGGAGGTTGGGGAGGCAGCAACGAAGCATCACTATCACCATTAAGCTGATTTCATTGTTTTTAGCATTTTGACATGCACGATGCCAAGGACCTTTTTGGAAATGTTTTCATTATGTCCTTTGTTGTCCACAGTGATCTGCGACACTGTCTCCTTCTGCGAGCCCCTCTGCAGATGCTGCTGCGTCAGAATGAGAGCATTGTCCATTTGTTTGTCCTCTCCTTGCCCCTCCTTGTTTAACTCTTCCTAATCTTTTGGAACAAGTGCCAAATGGGATGTTTTGACATCTGATCCTTGGCTGAACCTTTATTTTAGTTAAAACCACCCCAGGCTGTTTTCATTGATCTCTTTGTTCCATTTGTATCCTGGATTTCCAAAGAGCCGCATTTTAATCCAACAGCAGCCATGTGAGGTAGGCCATGCTGGACTCTGACCCTCCACCCTTCCCTTCCTGTAGGCCCGAAGCCTCCCACCACAGTGCTGCCCTCCTTGCCAATGTACAGATAAATAACCAAAAAGTGCTCAATAAGAAAGGAAAGAGGTATCAATTCATGTATATGCATGTGTGAGCCACTCTTCTGATCGGTTATACTGGCTTTTTTTATATTACTTACTACATTTATGTCCTATCTTCTTCCAAGGAGCTCTGGGCAGTGTACACTTGGCATTTTCACTGTCACAACAAGCCTATGAGGTAGGTTAGCTTGAGTGAGGGTGACTGGCAAAAGGGTACCCAATGAGCTTCATGAACCCTAGTCTAGCTGCTCCTAGTCTGACTCTTCAACCCAGTGGCAGGGAACCTTCCACAGCGCAGAGGCCACATTCACTTTGAGGGCCATAGGACAGTGGTGAGTGGGTGGAGCAGAGCAGAGCAAAATTGGGCAGAGCAACATATGCAATTTTTGCCTTGGTACAGTAGGCTGGCTTCTACACACACTCATACACCCTTCTCTATTCTCCATCCAGGTAAGCAATGGGCCTTCTCAGAGTTCAAGGACACAATCCAGGCAGAAACTCTTGGAAAAAACGCCCCTGGGAAGGGTGCCAACATGTGGGGTGCAAAGCAGAACTAGTCAAGGGTGTGGCCTGGGGAGGGTCCTGAGACCCAGATACAGAAGACTGGGGGACCACATTTTCCCCTGGTCCTGAGTTTCCCCACCCCTGCTTTAACCATCACACCAGGCTGACTCTCTATTCTTACCATCAAGCCACACCTCCAGACTGTCCCCCCCCCCCAGTAGCTGCCACCCATTTGGTGTTCACCTGTCTCTTTCTATGAATTAATGACTGATTGAGTAGGCAGCCAGGACTGGGTGGATACAACCATAAATATTGTTTGTTGAATGGCAATTAGGGTATGAAATTGCTTGCATTTGTGGTTTAGTTTTTCCTCGCATCTTGTATAAACTATTGAAATGTCAGATCCTGAGCATTTCAGCTTTCATTACTCACTCGCTAAATGTTCTGACGTGCACTTTGAGCTC